TATGGTTGATGTTTCAAGTTTGGGAAAGTTGATCGGGATTACGTGGTGAGTGGTTGGTACGATGTTGTGGTCGTGTAAGGGACCGATGGCTAGGTATGGTGCGATGAGTGGTTGTGTACAGTGATTGTGCGATGTTGTGTGTTGTGGTGTTGGTGGTGTGATGGTGGATCTAGTGGGTGTGCAGGTGTAGTAGTGTTGAAGTGGTGGTCGACGGTGGGGGTCGTGGCAGGGTGATGGTGAGATGTTGGTGGTTGCAGGTCGTGGTGACGACGGCAGTGAGGTGGTGGTTCTTTTGGCGTTCAGAGAATTGATGATGATGTTGGTCGTGGTCATGGTGGTAGGCGATGATTTTGGGTGGTTGTGGTTTGTTCATTTTCGTTAGATCTAGAGGCAAAGTGGGTTTCGACAGCAATAAAGGAGGTGGTGCCGACTGCGGTAGCGGGGATGTTGGTTGTGCTGAAAATTGTGATCGTGACTCGAAATTGGATATGTGACCTAAAAATTGTAATTGTGACTCCCAATTGTAACTCACAATGTGGGAGTCACAGTTGGTCGTGGTGATGGTTGTGGTGGTCCTGGCGGTGGTCGTGACGGTTTGGTTGATTTGTGACTCACAATTAAATACGTGATCTGAAAATTGTGACTGTGACTCACAATTGGATACGTGACCTGAAAATTGTGACTGTGAATCGTAAATGTTGGTGGTGGTCACAAATTATTTGGTTAACTGTGACCATTAAATTGGTTAATCTGTGACTAATGAAAAAGATAAATTGTAACCGAAAAAAATGTGTGACCTAATAAATTGTTAATCTGTGATCGATAATTTGATAATTTGTGACTATATAATAAGTTGTGATTTGTAATATTTATGATTTTTGATCAATAAATAAATCGTGACTTATAAATTTTTCGATTTGTGACCGATGAACGAACTGTGTGACCTACAAAATTTTTGAATTGTGATCGTAAAATAATTTGTGACATAAAATTTCTGATTTGTGGTCAAAAAATAATATGTGACTAATTAAATTGTTAATTTGTGACCTAAATATATTTAATTAAATCATAAATAAATGTTAATAAAAATTTGATTTTTTAAGTTTGAAACTTATTTTCTTAATTTTGAAATATGTCTCTTACTTATGAAATTTTCCCTTAATAAAATTGTGAAATTATCACTCGTTATAATTTAACCTAATTAGGGTTTCCAATGCCTTCTTTTTTAATTTGAAAAGAATATTAGAGTCCTAATCCTATCCAATTTCTGCTTCTCCATAACATATATAAAGAAATTATATTCCTTCGTCTAAAGATGGAACAACAACTTGTAGAGAAGCCAAGGAAGAGAATGGATGGATTACCAATCGACATATTAGTAGAAGTTATATGGAGACTCCCTTACAAGTCCCTTTGCAGGTTCACCTGTGTTTCCAAAGAATGTCACAGATTGATTTCTTCTCCAAGTCCTGGTCTCGTCAAAGATTTGCGTCACTAACGTCTTCATACAAACCCTTATTTATGTATTTGGGATTGTAAGAAGTATTTTAATTAAGATAGAGGCACTCTTCGTGTGTCCATTGTGGAAACAGCTACTGAAAGGATTCAGGGAAACTACTATCTCCCTGTTACATATTCTGAAGGGTATTACATGGTGTCGTGTCACAATCTTGTATGCTTTGTTGGGAGAAAAATTTCTATCCATAATCTAAGCACCCAAGAAACAATAATACCGCCAGATTCTGGCTCTTTTTTTTATGCAGGTTTAGGGTACTCATCCCTTGCAAACGAATACAAACTTGTTAAGTGGTTTGGCCAGAAGAACAATGGAATCATAACTATGGAGTGCAAAATCTTTGATCTATCCAATCGTCTTAGATTCAAATCAGATTCATGGAGATTTACTGAAACACGTCTTTTTGAAGACCTCGACCTGCATCCTGTGTCAGGTAATGGAGTGATTTATTGGCTTACGAGAAACTATCGGGATTTTTATCAAACGGATTCCATTCTTGCCTTGGATTTGGATAAGGAAGAATCAAAAATCACTTCATGCCCAAAGCGCAGTCCTTCTACCAAGGCCTACTTGCTAGAGTTAAAGGAGTGTTTATATTTCGCACACTGTTGGAGGGAAAAAGCAATTGTGAAAATGTGGAGGCTCGAGGACCCAAATAATTGTGTTTGGATTTCAGAATATTACATCAATTTTCCATCCATATGCAACTCCATTGTGCCAGTAACAAGTGTATTGGCGGCTCATGTTGAAATGCTTGTCTTTTTATCGTTAGAAGGCCAAGATCTCCTCTACTATAATGTAGATTCCGGTACAATGAGAACAATCGACAAGTTGTGGCACTTAAAACAATATTGGTTACAACCCCCTTGTGTTCTAAAATACATGGAGCTCTAAACTGTTTCATGCATGTCTCTGATATCAAGGATTTTTATTGTTCATTCTATTCTCATGACATATATTTTTTGTTCCATTCATTAAACTTAGATGTTTCTATGTTCTTCATAATAATATGAAGTTCCTAAAAAGAAATTATTTATTTTTTGTTTATTGAAGTTCTGAGTATTGAAATGCTTCGAACAGATTCGGGTAATTTTC